ATTACAGTATAATAGTATTATTTCTCGTATCTTCTGACTTGAAAGTAACTGTCATTTTAAATCCCATTATTGTAACAAATACACCTAACACGTTAATTATATAAAAGACTTTAAATATCTAAATTTATTGTTAAAGTAATTAAAGATTCCATTAAGATAAATTGAATCATGATACAAACTCATTAAGAAAATATTTCTATAAGCACAACAGTTTCAATCCCCTCATATCTTAACGAAATGATCAGTTAAGATCTCTAAATACAATGCATAAAATATCAAATGAAACGAACAATACTACAGATACCAAATTACACAAAATAGAAATAAATCAAATTTGTTGTCCTCGATGTCAAGGGTGTAATTAGCAACACCCTTTCGAGTACAAAAATTTCAGTGAATTGGTGGTCTTCCAGTTTGCCCTGCATCATACTTGACCTATATGAGCACGGAATCCGTTTAATGGCTTACAGATAACATCTGAAGGAGATGGGTAAATCAGGAGTTGAACAGTGGCGGCTCAAGAGTGACTGCTTATTAGCGTAATTAATCGCGAGCACTTCATGACACGAGTAACTCTCTATTTCCGATGCACAGCCATGCGCCTATCCTCCAGATTATCGGACGTGACTAACTTGCTCGTCCGTCTGTTAAGACAAGTTAATTTTAACAAGGGGTCGTCGAATCCATGAACGTCCAACAACGGCGGATGCTCGTTCGATACTCTTCGTATTGTTTCAGACAACAATGGCACCGCGCCAGCAATATCGTTTTGCGATTAAAACTGAAATACGGCGGGGCCTCTGATTCAACTACGCAAATTATACTTTCGAGCGCGGCGGTATTCTATTTCAATGCCCGTAAAAGTCCTCTTAACGATTTGTTGCTAACTCAAATACCCTAATTCACTGAACTCTTAAACGCCACCGTTGAAAAGTTTTAGCTTATTTCTAACGTTCAGTATTTATGGATAACAATAAAAGGAAAATAATTCGGATTTCCAGTTTTTGTTATTAGTAGATTTGGAAATATAAACATTTTATGGGTAGATTTAGTAAAATTTTATTTGGTAGATTTTATTAGTGGATTTTTCGAAAATCTTTTATTATATGGTGCTGCTTTTCTGTTATTTTCACTAAAATTGCATTAACTATTTTTGTTTTGCGGAAGGTTTTTTTATAAAATATAGGATTTTTTGTTTGAAATTATTTTGTTCGTATGATTCTATTAATATTTGATCTTAAATGTCAGAATTTATATACAGAAAATTATTTATGGAAACATTCGATGTTTTGGGAACGAGATTATAACAAGGGATATAATATACGTTGTTCCCCGGGGAATGTCGAATTCAGTATATTGATTATGAAAGTGAATCCCTGACAATGGAATGACAGTTGAATGCCAACAAAATAATACATGTTTACTTGAATTTGAGAACAATATTCTACAAGTTTTGCTTGTCATACTCTGCCAATCTTTTAAACGCTCGTTAATTACATAAACACATACACGACTCCACATTTCAAATGCAGTAAAAATAGCATTAAAATAAACATTAACAGTACCACAGTAACCTGAAACAAGTTTTGCCACGATTTTCAGTAACTGAAATTATAGTAATTTAAATACAGTAATTCAAATCGCAATTGTCATCGACATTTCTAACATTTCTAATTTAATTATCACTTATTTTTAAACCGCAACATTTACAAAAAATTAAAAGATATCATAGGACCAAAACTAAGAAACAATTGGAATTCACGTTCACATCAAGGTAGATCAAAAAGTCTTCACAATATTGTTGTTTCGTATTGCATATTATTTACAAAAGTTTGATTTTCGTAAGTCAAGGTGTTCCGAGAAATATTTCAACACGAATCAGTCACGTTTAACAAGAAACACGCTTCATAGGTCATAGTTGTCGATGATGTTCCATATTCCTAGTGACCTACTCCATAATTCGGCGCTGAGGAAATTCCGTTATTTATAATTTTTGGCAAGTACATCACAGAGGCATCCTAATGTTAGGCTATTGCGCAACGGTTCGCGAAATTCTGAATGTAGCCGGTTATCGGAATGGCATTCGATTCATATCTAATGAATGTCAAGCATCGTTTACGAACGGATCGGTATGCGAACTTACAACGGTCTTTTACCCTGCACATTGTTTGCCTTATCCTTGTAATCCGAGCATAGAACATTTCGCTCCAAGGATGCTCCACTTGAAGACAATTGCAACATTCTTGTTGTTGACATCAACGTTCTTTCCAAGAAGACGCTCATTGCAAAATAATGTCCCTCGCGATATTTCACGACGAACCACCCCACGAAAATTTTCGCGTCCAATTCGCATGATTTAACGCCATCCTTTTGTTCACGGTGGTATGTGTGATCTCAAACAATAATTTCGAGTGAATTTACTAATCTAATATTTCTTGTACAATATGCGAGGCATGTATAAATACTATTATTCATTAATGTTTTTAGAAACGTTAAACCAGTAGAAAAAAATGTCACTATTAAAATTTTATTATATTGTCACTTTAAATAAATTAAATTTAATTTAAATTTATTACAATTAAATCCCTCAATTATAAATTTAAACTGAACCCACTTGAATTCAATTTAATTTTTTAAATATATTGATTTAATTGAATCAATTAACCTTTAATTCATGGTAATATGTATTATTTTCAACAATAATTTTAGAAAATTTGTTATTAATCTATTCTTTCAATTAATACAATTCGTTGAGAACAGAAATAAATTTGTATTAAATATTTATGGTAGATTATTCTAATAATATATAATTCGATCTAAGAATAGATGTAAGAATAGAATAGATGTATATTCCATTTGTTGATTGAAAATATGAAAAATAATATAACAAAAAAGATTTAGAAAGACTGAATACTGTTTCGTTTTGTTCAATTTACCGAAACCATTTTGTAAGGGAATAGAATTTTATTTAATTGCAGTTCATTTAAACTTGCAAGTAAATCAAAAGTTCTAATAATAAGGAATGATTATAATAATCACCTGTTGTCAGTCATTATTAACATTAACGCGTTGACTGTCATAAATAACTTCAGTGTTTTATGCATCACGTATTCTTTCATACTAAAGATAAAATGGAACAGTTATCAATTATTTGCTACCACAATTCTTACCTTACATTATTATCTAATGATTTACGTTATTGATAATTTGTATTCTCAGTTATCTTACAAAATCCAATTGTTTTCAAGTAATATGGAAGCTCCGGCCATCGATCACCGTGGCAGTCAACGTGTTAACCTTTTATCCTATGATTTCTTTCCCAACTGTACTTCATAAAACCAATGATAATTTAATAGAAAAAGAAAACAATTCAATGCTTATACCATGCCTGCGTTAACTATAAAGGTTAAAGATTGATAATAGACAAGTAATATTTCATTTACATGAAAAATAAGTAAATAACATTTAGATTTGTCACCACAAGTTTCACTCGATATTATAGCAAAAGGAGTTAACCCTCTATGGGCCGAATTTTTGTTCATGATTATAACAAAATCTATGCAGTACAGAATTAATAAATATCCACATATGAATACGAATTAACAATGTATTCAATGTATTCAATAATTTCATCAAACGAATATATTTTATAACTTTCAAGTTACAATGACGTTAAACTTTCACGCCTAAGCGTATATAAGTTTAAGTTAACTGATTACTTAATTTTATTCACCACTTTGAGTGTAAAATGAAATAAATCAACAAGATGCCAATATAATGATATATGACTTCAAAGTTACATGGGCTTACAGAGGGTTAATAACGAGTAAAAAATAAACTGAATATTTCTACTGCAGCTCCAATAAAACAAAGGAGTCGTGTGTTGTATGGAGTGACATGTTACAACGTTGTACAGGAAACAAGACCATGCTCATTTATTTACATATATTACGTTGCGATTGTGCAATTCTATTCGCCATGCCATTTACCATACCAATTCAGCGTAAATCTTCCGCAACAATGAGGTACAATGTCAAGTGGAATGGCGTATGACAGTGGAATGGCATACGGCATCGCGCAGTCACACGCTAATATGCAGAAATAAATAAACATTCAATTTAACAGTGCACGTCGTTACTCATATGCCACGCTATGAAACATGCTTCCGTGTACGTTTTCCCTTAAACGTGGAATGAGTAACCAGGATGATCGACAAACAATACTAGAAACACTTATGTATTGCGTCATATGATTATTAATCACGTTACGGTTATACATATATTAATATGCACATATTAATCATTTGTAACACATGTGAGTTAGTTCAATTTAAAACAGAGAAAGAACTTTGGAAGAATTTTGGGAATGCGGATATTTTATTTTTAATTTATTCAAATCTATGAGAAAAGTAATTATTTTCTATTTAATTTCCATTCTTGTAGATTGTTTTAGAAGGTTCTGATTTTATAAAAATCTTTGTTAATGTTATAGCTTGTGTTACTGATATTTTAGAATTGTGCGAGATCGATATTTATTGTAGAAATGTGTAATATGCTGTCTTCGATGTGATTAAATTTAAGAATGACGCAATAAATAATTAAAACTTGAAAGGGAATGAAACACAAAATGAAACAAATGACTTCTGTCTGTTCTCTATTTGTAGAGACCGTTTCCTAGTTTAACTTGAGATACATTCTAATTAAAACTTATTGCACTCTCACTGGCACTGAAGCACCTGTTCGCGATATTTCATTTAACTCCGAACGTTTA